CAAGGAGGTCAGACTAAGGGAGGGGGGCCCCCCATCTAGGGGCCCCCAAAGAGATGTCTTCTTAGAGAGGAGGGGAGAGAGGGGCCCCCCCTCAAGCCCCCTGTGGGGGCCCCCTCTCCCCCCTGCTGCTGCTGAGCTGCGAGTCCGACGACGCAAAACAGGGGCCCCCTCCTGCTGCTGCTGCTGCTGCTGCTGCTGCGGTGGTGTAGCAGCAGCTGCTGCTGCAGCTGCTGAAGAAGCTGCCTCTCTCTGCTCCCGCTTCTTCCTCCCCCTAACAGCCACACTCCCGGGGGGCCCCCTGGGGGCCCCCCTAGGGGCCCCCTCCTCAGCAACCCCCTCAGATACCCCCTGAGAGGTCTCTTGAGGGGCCCCTTGGGGGCCCCCCTGGGGGGCCCCCTGAGGGGCCCCCTGGGGGGCCCCTTGGGGGGCCCCCGAAGGTAGAATTTGTTCCGGGGGGGAAGGGGTTTGAGGGGGCCCCCCAGAGAGATATGAAGAGAGTGTAGCCGCGCTGGAAGCCATCCCCAAACCCTAAACCCTAAACCCTAAACCCTAAACCCTAAACCCTCGATGCCAAGCTACTAGCTTGAAATATACGGGCTGTTCAGAACAGTTTGCGAAGAGCAGCATGAGGATACGGAGAAAGGAGTGAGCTGCTGCTGGCTGGCTTTGTCGATGCTGCTGCTGCTGCTGCTGCTGTTGCTGCTGTTGCTGCTCCTGCTGCTGTTGCTGCTGCTGCAGTTGCTGATGCTGCCGCTGGTGGGGCCGTCACCGATGTCTCTGGCACGGCTGTCACCGTCACTGCTCTTGTTGCTGCTGCTGCTGCTGCTGCTGCGGTTGCTGCTGCTGCTGCTGCTGCTGCTGCTGCTACTGCTGCTGCTGCTGCTGCGGCTGCTGCTGCTGGGTGTGCTCCCGGCGCACACTGCGCAGCGCAGGCCGTAAGGGGGGAAAGAAGACACGACAATGACAAGTGAGGGTTGAGGGTTTGGTGTTTAAAGATTAGGGTTTAGGGTTTAGGGTTTAGGGTCTAGGGTTTAGGGTTTAGGGTTTAGGGTTTAGGGTTTAGGG